AAGGGGTATAGCAAGGGAAAGGGAAAGGCCGCGGATGCGTCAAAGAAGAAAAGTGAGGGGAAGGCCTATTTACCTCCGGCTTGCTACACATTGTCAAGGGTAGAAAAAAGGAGGTTTTGTGAATGTCTGTATGGCATTAAGGTTCCATCAGGGTACGCGTCTAACATGAAAAGATTTGTATCCTTAAATGGAGAATTGAAGCTGACAAGTATGAAATCCCATGATTGTCAAGTTCTGATGCAAGTTTTTCTACCAATTGCAATACGTGGTATTTTGCCAAAGCACGTGAGGGAAGCTATTACAAGCCTCTGTTCGTTTTTCAATAAAATATGTAGCAAAGTGCTTGATCCTTGTACCCTTGATGCTTTACAGGCGGATGTGGTTGTGACTTTGTGCAAATTTGAGATGTACTTCCCGCCCTCGTTTTTCGACATAATGGTGCATTTGATTCTTCATTTGGTGCGTGAGATTAAGTTTTGCGGTCCAGTGTTCTTGAGGTGGTGCTATCCTTTTGAAAGACACATGGGTACATTGCAAGATAAAGTTAGGAATCGAGCTCACCCGGAAGGAAGTATGATTCAAGGGACCGTGGCCGAGGATTGGTAATTTTGTGGCCGACTATATAGCCGTTGCTGAACCTATTGGTATTCCTACTTCTCGACATGAAGGTAGACTTGATGGTCATGGCAATCGGGTCGAAATGAATGTCACCTGATCGAGAGAAGTTCTTACAAGCACACCTATATGTGTTGCACCATGTTGCTTATGGTCCTAGGGATGATGTTCGCTCATTTGAGGGATATGACATAAATGGGTACACATTTTGGACTGAGCGTCAAGATTTGAAATCGTCCTCGACCCAAAACAGTGGTGTAACGGTTGTGGCATCGTCAAGGGAGTTTGCAAGTGCTAAGGGTAAATCACCCGTTGATGTAGAGTTGTCATACTATGGTCGGATTCAAGAAATATGGGAGCTTGATTATTGTGACTTCACGATTGCTCTTTTCCGGTGTAAGTGGGTTGATAATATCAGGCGTAACGTCAAGTTTGATGACTTTACTCTTGTAGATCTTGGCAACCTGAATGATAGTGCGGAACCATTCATCCTTGCATCTCAAGCTAAGCAGGTGTTTTACGTATCTGACCCTGCCGACTCAAAATGGTCTATTGTGCTAGCCGGCAAAAGAAGAATCCTTGGCGTTGGAGATGTCGAGGATGGGGAAGAATATGATGCCTTTGATGACTCGGCACCTTTCACCGTTCCTAGGCCTGTTGTGCCAAATGAGATAGACGACCAAGCAAATTACATGAGATCCGACCACGATGAAGGAATATTAGATTGAGGTACTGTATATTTTCTGTTAGTTTGAATTACAGGCGTAGAAAGAATAAAAAAATCTCATATGCCTAGGTGAAAATGAATGAAATTGTTGAATTACTTGCCCATTTTTCTTATATTCTTTTAAATGAATAAAGTAACTTGCATCACCATTTTGAGAGTTTATTTGTATTATAATTCAGCAATTTATATATGATTATAAGTTTACCTTACAATTCAGCAGCTAATAACGTGTTATGTTTGTATTGACAGGTTTTAACATCTAATGGCGGACGATCGATTCCGTGTTCGAGTTGAGGATGTTGAATCTAACTCAGATGATTCATCTAATGATGGGGACCAGCCGTATGATGTGAACAAGGAAACTGATTTGGGTGAGCCAGAAGATCAGGCGCAAGATGTATTGGAGAGAATGATAGATGACTTTGAAATTGCAGCTGAGCAAGTGCCTCCAATCGATAATGCCATTGTGGAGCCATTTCGTGAGGATCAAAGTGGAGCGGGGGTGCAGGCACCAGCGAAGAAAAAGCAGAGGGGTCCGACGACAGCTTTCAAGAAACCTGTCGGTCCTATGGTCTTGGAGTATGACAGGGTAGGGCAACCCTCAGGTAAATGGCGTCGTCAGTATGCTGGTCAATTTGGGATTTGTGCGCGCAAAATCCCCATTACGCTTCGTATGAGCGACGTACCTACAGGCTTGATTGACACGTTTTGGAATGATACCAGGGTAAGTTTGATTTGATGTGATTATTTATAAACAATTTCAATTTATTATTATGTTATGGGCAAACCAATAATGTTTTTTATTTGTGCTTGCAGAGTCTATTTAACATTCCAAATGAGTACGCAAAGCGAAGGGTGTTTGAATCCTTACTTGCGGCAAGATTCAGAAGCTTCAAGTGTAACTTAGTTCGTCGGTTTATCACAAAGAAACTTGTGAGGAAACCAAAGAACAAGAAAGGAGGTGGCAGTGATGATGATGTCATCGATGAAGAGAAACTCCCTTGGCAAATATGGCCTAGCATATCGAAGGATGATTGGGAGGCTTTCGTTCATCAAAAATGTAAAAAAGAAGAAATTGTAAGTTTAAAGAACTCTGATGAAAATTGTGTTGTAATTTATCGTCTTTTTTATTAGTAATGAAACTAACATATATATCTTTTTATGTAGGAATTGAGGGAGCAGAATTCCAGGAATGCATTGCAAAAGCAATACCACCATCATATGGGAGCAATGACGTATGATGAATGGAGGGATACGTGGGTGAGTGAAGGAGTATACCCCACTGCGCTTCTAGGGTCCTCCACAGCGCCGTCTGACTCCACGACCAGTACTTTGGTGAGTCGTGCTGGGGATTTCTTTTGCTCTATGCATTCGCGGGACAAGAAGACTGGAAAATGGTCCATCAACGCTCCGGAAACCAAAGAAATGACAGATAAGCTAGTAAGCAACTATGAACTAGTGAACTAACTTATTCATTTGCATGTATATCACTTTATATAAACACTGACTTCATGTTGCCATTTTGTTTTTGCTACAGCTTGAGTACACTGGAGAGCTTGTTGAAGGCAAGCTCGTCCCGACGGTAGAGAAGGACCCCTTCACCTTGGCTATGGGAAAGCCCTACCATCCGGGACGGGTATTAGGTGCTGGGGGGAGCTTGCTAGGATGGGAGAAGGTAATGGGTCCCGAACATACCAAATCTGGAAGATCCCGAGCAAGTGTGAACTCGCCACAGAACTTCGATGCCACAGTGGCATCAATTAAAGAACAAGTGCGCAATGAGATGCGCGAAGAGTTCAATGCATGGGCAAAGAAAATGAATTTGCCGACCTTGCCCTTTTCCTCGACAACACCGGCCGACGCAAGTAGCCACCCACGAAGAGAAGGAGAGAAGGAGGTAAACGATTAGAATTCAACTCTATAAGTTTTGATATGCTGAGTTACGTGGGTACGGTTCTAATTAATGTTTCACTATCAATACACTATTGTAGATTGATACTCCTTCACATGCGAACTCAAGGGGGCTTGATACTCCGACACCTCATCACTTTCCTATTCTACAGGTTATTTTGTGCTTACTTGTTTGGATAATGATATTTGTTTTTGGATTGTGTTGTGAAATGGTTAAGTTGGCTGTGAAATGGTGTTTCTTCGCTGTGTTGAGTAGTTTGTGTTGCTTTAATTTGTTGATGTGATGTGTTGTTGTCGTCTGCTTCTCCTTCTCCTCCTCCTTCTCTTTCTTCTCCTTCTCCTTCTCCTCCTCCTCCTCCTCCTCCTCCTTCTTCTCCTTCTCTTCCTCCTCCTCCTTCTCTTTCTTCTCCTTCTCCTTCTCTTTCTTCTCCTTCTCCTTCTCTCCCTTCTCATTCTCCTTCTTCTCCTTCTCCTTCTCCTCCTTCTCCTTCTCCTTCTCCTTCTCTTTCTTCTCCTTCTCCTTCTCTTTCTCCTCCTCCTTCTCCTTCTCCTCCTTCTCCTTCTCCTCCTCCTCCTCCTCCTCCTCCTCCTCCTCCTCCTCCTCCTCCTCCTCCTCCTCCTCCTCCTTCTCTTTCTTCTCGAGGAGGCTGCAGCACAGCGAGGAGGCTGCTGTGCAGCTGTGCAGCACTGCAGCAGCTGTGCAGCCTCCTCGCTGTGCACACGCTGCCCTTCCCGCCCGGTTTCCGGTTTTTTTTTTTTTTTTGCACTTGTTTTGGTTTTTTTTTTTTTTTTTTGCGCCTAAGATACTAAGTTATGAATATTTATGGCTTGAAACAACCTAAAAAAAGCAATTTCACAAGTTTTAGGTTCATTTAGAGTGTTTTCGGCTCGAAATGGTCTAAATGAGTTCTAACTTGCCCATTTTCCATGTTTTTTGCTCAATTCTTGATTTAACTCCTATATTACACCTAATATGCTTAGTTATGAATATTTTTGGCTTGAAACAACCTAAAAAAAGCAATTTCACAAGTTTTAGGTTCATTTAGAGTGTTTTCGGCTCGAAATGGCCTAAATGAGTTCTAACTTGCCCATTTTCCATGTTTTTTGCTCAATTCTTAATTTAACTCCTATATTACACCTAATATTCTTAGTTATGAATATTTGTGGCTTGAAACAACCTAAAAAAAAGCAATTTCACAAGTTTTAGGTTCATTTAGAGTGTTTTCGGCTCGAAATGGCCTAAATGAGTTCTAACTTGCCCATTTTCCATGTTTTTTGCTCAATTCTTGATTTAACTCTTACATTACACCTAATATGCTTAGTTATGAATATTTAAATGAAGTATCTTCCTAATTGGTGCAGGAAGAGACCCGTTGTGAACTTCTTCACCCGGGGGAATCATATGATGGACCTTTGAAAGTTGTTGCCTATGGTAGTGCACAACCGGCCGAACAAGGCACGGTCCATCTTCGACCTCTTCTGCCCGAGCATTATTCTGTTGGGATCCATTCTGTGGTTCCCGGGTTCGAGGAGATCTTAATACCTGTGCCCGTGGAGGAGGATGAGTTCACTACACTCTGGGCAGCAAAAGGTAGTTTTGTGCAATGGCCAACTGCTTGGATACGGTTGATGAACCAGGTAATTAAGATTTAGATTTCACGATTTAATCTTTTCTTCCCAAGAATTGGATGGAAATCTTTGCTACCTATTTATATGATTTGTCTTATTAGCCATCGAAGAAAAGCCAAACTCCAAAGAAGAGGGTGGAGGGGCCAAAGAACAGGAGTGAACATGGCTCGGTGAGTGGAAAAGCGTCGATGAAGAGCCCTTCACGATGTTCAGCTACGCAAGCTACTCCATTAGTTGAAGACACGGTGCTTCAATCGCTATCTCAGGAGTTAGCTTATTTGCACAACCGTGTTTGCGTGTTGCCTAATGACAACCCCATCCAAATCCAACTTCCTAAGGAAATGTTCCACTACGATGATGATGCAACGGCATGGCTATTCAAAGAAGATGTGAAGGAATTTCTAAGTGGTGCAATGCTTAACATTTCCCCCATTCAAATATCCATGAGGTAATTCAACTGATACTCAATTTATATTATTCAGTTTAGTGGTGTTTGTCGTTTGGTTTTCGATTAACGTTGTGATATCATGCATGCAGAGCACTCCAGGAGCAAATATGGGAGCTTGAATCTCCTTGTCAAGTTGGGTGGTTGTGCCCTGAGCAGATGTCCACTGCTAGAATCTTAGGCAACTCCGCTGATGTGTTGTACTATGCTGAACGGGGTATCAGGCAATCAGTGAGTGCGGGAGACAAGTTCATATTCGTCCCATACTATGAGGAGTACGTCTGATTATGCTAGTCAAGTTCGTTTGTTTTCCCAGTTTATTTGTTGTAATAGGCTAACTATTGATTTGTTTGTCTCGTGTGTAGTTATCATTGGACCCTACTTGTGATTTGTGTTTCCAGTAACACAATCTTCTACTTTGATTCTGCTCGGTTACCTCAAGTAAGAAAGCGCCTCGTGAGGTCCATACTGCAAAAGTAAGCATCTAGTTTGTTTCACTTCTGATTATTCATTTTTCATATCTTAACTCATATGTATTGATTATACTAGTCAAATTTGAAGTTATTACTTTGATTTTTTGTAGTACCATGAAGAAGATAAATCCTCGATCTCCTCGAGGTCCTACATGGAAAGCACCCAAGGTAATTCACCCATGATGTTGTGATTTTCTTACTTTACAATGCTTAAGATGTTGCTTATTTTCTATGCATTTTGATTCATGTGCTTTGTTCCTCATGCTAGTGCGCACAACAGGAAAACGGAGTTGACTGTGGCCTATACGTGATGAGATTCATGTATGACATAGTGATGAGTCATTGTACAGACACACGTCAGCTTGAAGAGGTATGCCATTTTGGTTGAAATTGCGTCCCAAAACCACTTACTTGCTCTTTTCATGTAATATCAAGCATTAGTCACATTTAACTAAGTGATAATGACATGTTTTAACTAGTTATGAGTTCAATAGACAAGAAATATAGAAAATAGGCATCCTAGTAGCCAAAATGGCCTTACTTGAGCCATTTTGCTTGAAATTGCGTCCCAAAATCACTTACTTGCTCTTTTCTTGTAATCTCAAGCATTAGTCACCTATAACTAAGTGATAATGACATGTTTTAACTAGTTATGAGTTCAATAGACATGAATTGTAGAAAATAGGCATCCTAGTAGCCAAAATGGCCTTACTTGAGCCATTTTGGTTGAAATTGCGTCCCATAACCTCTTACTTGCTCTTTTCTTGTAATATCAAGCATTAGTCACCTATAACTAAGTGATAATGACATTTTTTAACTAGTTATGAGTTCAATAGACAAGAAATATAGAAAATAGGCATCCTAGTAGCCAAAATGGCCTTACTTGAGCCATTTTGGTTGAAATTGCGTCCCATAACCTCTTACTTGCTCTTTTCTTGTAATATCAAGCATTATTCACCTATAACTAAGTGATAATGACATGTTTTAACTAGTTATGAGTTCAATAGACAATAAATATAGAAAATAGGCATCCTAGTAGCCAAAATGGCCTTACTTGAGCCATTTTGCTTGAAATTGCGTCCCAAAACCACTTACTTGCTCTTTTCTTGTAATCTCAAGCATTAGTCACCTATAACTAAGTGATAATGACATGTTTTAACTAGTTATGAGTTCAATAGTCAAGAAATATAGAAAATAGGCATCCTAGTAGCCAAAATGGCCTTACTTGAGCCATTTTGGTTGAAATTGCATCCCAAAACCTCTTACTTGCTCTTTTCTTGTAATCTCAAGTATTAGTCACCTATAACTAACCCCAATTATTATTATTTCACTTCTACTAACTCACGTTTTGTGTATTCTAAGTTTTGCAAGGGGCAAACGGGACTTCCATACACGAGCGAGGAACTCCATGTAATTCGGGAGATGTTGGCGACCTACATCACATTTAATTTGTAAATATAGTCATACATTTTTGTACTATATCATCTCTTCATCAATCCTAGGCTTAGCTTATTAATTATGTACTATACATGAAACATTTTTCTAATTTATATCATCTCTTGCGATTGTTATTATTAATTATTTATGTTTTGTTATTAATGTTACTAATTATTGTTACTATTATCATATATAATAATAATAAGTATTATTATTATTATTATTACTATTATAATATTAATAATTATTATTATTATTAATATAATAATAATTATTATTAATATAATAATAATAATAATTATTATTAATAATAATATTGCAGCAAAAAAAAAAGGTCAATATTAATGCAGCCAAAAAAAAAAACAACAAAAAAAGGTCAATATTAGTGCAGCCAAAAAAAAAAACCAATACAGGTCATTGGCAACGGTTAACCGTTGCCAATGTTTTTTTAAAAAAAAAAAAAGTGCGCCATTGGCTTTGGCAACGGTTAACCGTTGCCAACTCAAGCAATTGGCAACGGTTAACCGTTGCCAATTAACAAAAAAAAAAGGAGGCATGGTTAATGGCAACGGTTAACCGTTGCCAATTGGTTGAGTTGGCAACGGTTTTGAACCGTTGCCAATTTATTTGGGATTTGGCAACCCTCAAATACTCAACGGTTCAAAACCGTTGCCTTTGGTTTGAACTGTTGCCAATTTCCTCTTTTCGTGTAGTGAAACATACTGAATTGAAATATATTTTATTGAACTGAAATTATTTTTATAGAACTAAAAGTATTTTCACCAAAACAAAAATTACTTTTCATGATTAAAATTTATTTTCACCAATTCTCTATTATTTTTGTTAATAAATTAAAATACTTTGTAATATCCCGTATTTTTGAAATGTATTTTCTAATTAATTAATTAATTAATTATTTTCTAAAAAGGGCATTTTAGTAATTTATTTTACTATTTGAATTTTGGAGCCAAAATGATATTTGAATTTTGGCGCCAAAAGTATTTTAAAACTTAATTATTTTTGGATTTTGAATTATCCATTTATTTATTTTAAAAACTGGATTATTTATATATATTTTGGATATTTTAATCAAGCAAAATTTAATTTAAAAGCGCCGAATTTTCCTAATTAATTAGTTAGGATTTTCGGATTTTTCTAGTGTAGAAAATTTTATTTTCTTAGTTAAATTAATAAGTGAATAATTGGTATTTTTCTAATTAATTATTTTATACAAAATATATTATTTACACAATCATTTTTATCCCTTAAAAACTAGCAAAATAATTGCCTAAATATTTAGAGGGAGGTCCGAAAATATGAGCTTAGGAAAGCTCAAATTTTCGCCCACCATATTGTATTTTGAGAAAAATTATTTTGGTAATTTTTTTTATTTTAATTATCTTCCTCAATTCTATTATTTTCCTAGCTTAATTCTTATTTTCCATCTCCTAAATATTTGATCATCTTATTTCCCTACCTTAAACCATTCTTGATTAGTCCCCAAGCAAAGCCATTTACCATTTAATATTTCATGACTACATACTTACGTTATTTCTTCATTACTTAATCACCATAACCTAGACTTCCATAATTCTTTAGCTCTCTTCTCCAAGTAATTTCCTTAAACAATTTACCATAATTTTTAATACATTCTCCTACCATAATTCTTGAATGAGCTAGCCTATAAATACCTTCTCATACCTCTCATATTCTTCACACCAAAAACTCAATTCTCTTCTTATCTCTTACTCTTCTTTTCCCTCAACCCTTTCCTACTTTTCTTCTCCTCGTTTCTAAAAGAAAATCAGTCGGTATATCTTTGGAGCCAATTTTCAGGTACTTTTGATCAGTTTTGGGGTTTTTCTATTTTACAAAAAATTGTTCCTCTCGAAAAATCCTTGAGGTTAAGCTCAAGAATCACCCAATTCGGAGTTATATTGAAGGAGTTATGGCCTCTGCAAGTTGTGCCTATTCTTTCCAACGCAAATCCAATTCTCTTTAATCCTATTCCTTTATTTTCTTCATGGTTAGTTTTCTAAAATATAAATACCTATTTCAAAGCTATAATTTTATATTAAAGTATTATTTTTAAGAGAGTTTTATAGTCCATGCACATTAGATTTGGATTTATGTCTAAAGATGTTGTGATAACCTTATGGTTATGTTAATTGCAAGGTGTATTTGTGTTGAACTTTGAAAGTGCGAAGTGTTTGATTGAGATTCGGAATCAAGGTAAGTTCAGGTGGCTAGATACCTTCGAAAGTGATTGGTTTGAAAGCATGTTTTATATCATTTTATTGGTGATTGAATTAAATTGATTTGAATTATGATTTATGAAATAAAGTATGGTTGGAGGAATTGATTTTAATATTTGTTTTAATAAATTTATTTTTGAACGATTGATTTTAATATCATGATTTGAATGGTTTGAAAATATTTATTATGTTTAAAGGAACTTAGTTTTAAAAAGTATGTTGGAGTGTTTTAAAGAGTTTTTAAAAGGGTTTGATTTTAATTAAAAGCTTATTGAATTAAATACAAAAGGAGTTTTTGAGTTATTCTATTATAAAGGTTGATTTTATTCAAAGAGGAGTTTCGTGAGAATTATTGAATTATTTATAAAAACTTTACAAGCATAATTATTATATTAATCCCACTATGCGGATTCATTAAAGACTATGGATTTTGTATGACCTAGTCTTTCTCCAACAATAGCCTTGAAATAGTAGGAGACTAGCTTGGGTGGTATGAAAAGTTAAAGAGAAGGTTGAGTTTTCGAAAATAATTGATTTTATTTATCATTATTATTGAGTTATTGGAATTATTTTGAGGATATTTGAGAATTGGTTTCAAAAGAGGAATTGGTTTTATAAATCGTTTCATCGAATTATTGAATTATTAAGATTTGATTTGAAATCATGAGTTTTGGAGTTCATTGGATTAATTATTAGAATTGGTTTTAAAAGCATGTTTGCAAATAAATTGAATTTACTTATCTTGCACTTATCGTACTTAGCATATTTTGCTAATCCGTATTTCTTATTTGTTTTGGTTCGCTCTGTTTACCGTAAGGGTAAGCATTGTTGACTAATTTCAGGTGAAGTCAAGAATTGAGAATATGGGAGTCCCGGGAATTTTCTTCACCTAGATTAGGATTGTTGGTCTTGGTTTAATTATGAGTACTCATGATGATGGTTTCTATTTATAGTTATTGTTAATAAAGAAAGAGTTTGGATTTCCGCTGCAAAGTATTGGTTAGTAATTGAGTAGCCTTGCGTAATCACGCGGCGGTAATACGCTTAAGTCTATCTGTACAGTATAATTATACGTATTATACTAGTGTTTCCATAGAGGGAGATTTGGGGGTGTTACATACTATAAA